ACCTACATTGTAAACATTGTATTTCTTCGGTTACGGGAAGCTTACGATGCACTTTTCGCGCACAGACTTTTCGCAGCTTCAAATCTTTGGTCAAAATTCGATACACTTGTAATTTACTCAAATGATATCCTCGATGAGTTTTACGGACATACAACGGTCTTGCTTAAGCAGATTAGATTCGTGATCGATTATCGACTGGTCGACGGTTGAAATAGAATAAACCGTCGACCAGTCGATAATCGCCTGTTGGGCTGTTGCTTTTATCATCTTTCAACGATTTTTTATCATCTCGAAATTTTAGAAACCACTTGTAAGCTGATGTGATAATGCTCTGTCCCGAAGGAATGCATTTCCAATTATTATAACTCAAAATTTTTAATTATTACCTTACAGAGTGAGTTTTAATGAAAGTTCTAAAACTTTTAGGACACACCGTATATGTAAATAGTGTAAATTATACATATGCGCGTGACGTGCTCATTTAAATGATTGGACTTTTACCCAGCGTATATAGCCGCAAGATCGGCAATAAACCATTCCGGACTGTTGAATCCTATTATACAGACGCTATGATGTCGTTCTAAACCCAATTTTAGAAATGCTTTCGCGACGATTCTTACAGTGGACTCGTATTCTCTGTAATACAAAATTGACATAATTTTACGAATAAATTGATCGTACCATTTATTACGATAAACGTATGTAGTTGTTAAAAACCAGATCCAGAAGATTAGAGAAAAAAGAGTTTATACAAAAACAATATATATTTTTACTTTACATAAGTGAAGACATTAATCTTATTGTTAGACGGAAAAAACGATTTTGCTGGAAGGTCTAAAAGTTTTGCTGGATACTGATTTGAAAATAATTTTGTAGGACCATAAAAATAATTTTGTTGTCATAAACGAAACTATAAAAAATGATGAACATTTTTGTAAAACGTTTTAATATTCTAGCAATTAGTCCGAATTTCCAACTTTCAGTAAAATCATTCTTTTCGTGTACAGATATTATCTATATTACTCATTATGATAATAAAGGAAACCAAAAATCTTGTTATAATTTTTTTTATACGTACTGAAAAGTATACGTAGTTCTTTTGCCATTGGTATCAGGTTTAGACACCAACGCAATATGATCAGGATAAAGCTTTGCCGTTTTGGTGAAAACTCCTGGGATTGATACGGGCTTACTTGAATTGGGTTCATTGCTGTCTAACTTTATTCGTATTCTACCGTTGGCGCTAGTTGTGCTGTCTACGTCCGTAGGTAGTACCTGATCAGGTCCTAAAAATATTTAAATATTAACACATTTTTACTTTTTTATTAAAAGAAAAAATAATTTACGGAAAATCGTGTATCGCTTAACAGAAAAAAGTAAAGAAAAAGCATGCTTTGTCATGGACAGAATTTATTATATAAATAATGCTGACAATTTGCCAGTGTCGTCTTTATAACTGACAATTGCGAAAGGAGAGATTGATGGATCCAATTACTGTAAAAAAAGCTTTTTATATATTTTGACAAAATTACCATCGAGACCAGTATCACTAGCCGACGCATATCTGGTTGACTGATTCATCTCCTGCAACAAGTTTTATTTATGACTCCTGATTTATGTTTTGTTTACTTTGAATACTAAATTGATGATATTAATATTAAATGAATTTAAAAAATGCGTGATTACATACCTGATATATTAACGGCCATCCACGTGGCTTGTAAGTAGAATATATATAAATCAGGCCTGTCCGGCTTGCGAGTTTAAACTCCATCTCTCTGTTGTCTCGATAGAGGCTGCGTTCGCTTTAGCGTTTGTAGCGCTCACAGCATCATTTTATTCTTGTTATTTATAAAATGTTAAACAAGGACAAATGATGCTTATAAGCGCTGTAAGTGCCAAACCGAACGCAATCAGAGCAAGACGGAGAGCAAACGAAAGAATATAGGTTTAAGAGCCTTCCATTTGTAGCGCTACAGCTATCTATCTATCCTCGTTTACTCTCCGTCGCTTTATCAAGGCGATAAAAAGATGGTAGAACTTATAATTAAGCTCGTGAGCCGGGTTTTTGACAGGCCTGACATACAATATTAAAAAGTTTAATTTGCATTAGATTTTTTTAATTATTAAGAGATTTTTTACTCATTTATGTGGATGACCATCATTCACGTTAATTCAACACTTGCGCAATAATTAATGTACTGTATTAATAATGTAATATAATTTTGATTTATTGCATATATTGTTGTATAATTAATGTACTGTATTAATGTATTATAATTTTGAACTTTTGCAAATATTGTTGGAATTTTACAGGTGTTTTCTTTAATTCGGACATTTAAAAATTGTTTTTAATGATACGACAAAAATATCGAAGTAAACAATTATTTGATTTGAAAGAACAAATATTATTCTGATAAGCAACATTTTTATTTATGCTTATTATTATTTAACAAGAATTCAAAATTATCTCCATTTTTGTTAATGAAATTATGATTTTTTTACATATATATTTCCTTAGTAAATCTGCATATAAAAGTAGAATGATCAAAATAATTGGTTTTAAAAAAAATTATTTTTTGCAATACGCACTTACGTATCTTATTTAAAAAGGAACTAGGGTAAATTCGGTATATACGCCGCGCGAGGATTTACGCCGCAGAAGTCAGAAAAAATAGGAATGGGTTATATGTCTACTCATAAGTGGGATAAGTGACTCAAAAAATATACAAATAATCTAAAGAGCTAAGCACTTGTATTTTGCTATACTCTATCCTTTACAATTTTTCTACACTTATGTACCACGAAATAACTACGAAGCCTTTTATATTTACTACAATAATCATTTTATGTAGAATGTAGATTATAACTTATGGTTATGGATGCGCTAATTATTACAGTGATACATTGATTTAACTTACAATAATTTTATAAATATTAACAATAAAAAACTGAAATCATAGCACTATACTAACAACATACTAAAAGCACGTAACAGAGTGGTTGCGAGAAAATTACGTTTACTTCTTCTATTTTTTCTAGCTTCTGCGGCGTATATACCGGAGTTATCTTAAGCATTAAAGTATACTTATCAAGAAATGAATAGTTTGAGATATTTTATATTTTATGTCAAAATCTGCACAAATAAAGCATAAAATATCTGGTAAATTATTAATTTTTTGATAATTCTAATGTGATACTTTTATATGCAGACTAACTAAAGGAATTATCATGTAAAAAAATTATTATATAATTTCTTTTAAGCAAGTGGAAGTAATTTTATAAAATAATTAATAAACATAAACAAAAATACTGTTTATCATAATATTTGCTTCTTTAAATCAAACATTATATATTTTTTATATTTTATTGTATCATTAAAAACATCAGAGCTATTTTACATGGTAGACATAAAGCAAAAACTCTGCATATTATCTCTGCAATTTATGACGTCATTGCAGTTATAGATCAAGCAAGTTGTATGTATATTTATATTTGTATGCACATACAAATTTCAAATAAGAAATAAGTATGCACTTATAAGAAATAAGTATGCACTTCAAGTAAGAAGTTTACATTTTTACGTTATAATTTTATTACAAGAAATTTATATAATCTTTTTAATTAGATATTATTACAAGAATCTGGATCAAACCGAAACAGTTAAGGAATAACATTTTCATAACTCTTTCTTAGACCGAATTAAAACCATAAACGTATCAAAATTCTACAAAATTTGTAACACTGGAATCATAATAGGGCCGATATAATTATTTGAATTGATTTACGATTTTTTTCAGCTTTTAATTTTTTTCGTTTCTTATATAATCTATAATTTATTATTTTTAGTCAGGATAACAGGCCAAAGACGAGCGAAATATAGGAACTTGGCTGAGAACATGAGGTGATATTTTTTCGCAATAAATTCTTTAGAGATTCGGGGAGAGTAGATCCTATAGATGCAAGTTAGCATTTATTTGGAAATCGCAACGAAGGAGTGAAGGGGGGGAAATAATTTATTAGATGCAAGTAAGCATCAGTACTCATTAAATTATTTAACAGCGTGATGATACGGTAATTCTGTTTCAATCAAATGCTGCGTTGAATTCGATAGTAACGGCTCGCAGTTCGTTGAAGCTAGAGTATATAAAAAATCACATAGTTATATTTAAATATTAACTGACACATATATTTCGCTCGTCTTTGGCCTCTTATCCTGACTATTGTTTACAATACGAGCTGATAATTTATTTATTTATTATTTTTATTATTATATTGTTTTATGTGTCTTGCAGCACATATTATTGCTTTTATAAGATTATGAGCTTTAAGGTGATTTTAATGGTTTTCGCTCAACGCCAACTCGATAATGTGACGTTGTCACATAAACGTCACACAATGGCTGCATATGTACAGTTTATGCGTAATGTTTTTATTGAATTATTAAGGCCGAGACACAGACTTTTGCATAACGCTGCATAACGCATAAGACGTAAAACATAAGAGAATCAGTCCTTTATTTCGTATTTTGATTGGTTGATTTTCTTATGCCTTATGTCTTGTGCGTTATGTAGCGTTATGCAAAAGTCTGTGTCTCGGCATTAGTCATATGGAGAGACTAACTTTTGACTGGGATTTGCTCGATAAAACCACCTTAACAAACACGCTTTTTATTACATTATTAATTTTGCAAAATGCGAATCGAAAAGACAAAAGCCTAGATAACGTGCGTTAAGTAAACGTGTTCTCTTTACTTGTATACGCAATGAGTTAGCATTTCTATACCTTTAGCTATTTTAACTTTTCTGGATCCTTGTTTATTTACGTGTTTATTTGCATTTCTGAAAACACGACTTGCGTATAATAATTGTTTTTACGATATATGATAATGCATTTTATGCAATAAGGAGCAATTGCAACTTCTTTCATTCTTCCGTATTAGATATCTGTTGTTCAAGAAAGTGTCAGTAATTGATTATTGTATTCATATATTTCATGTTTAGCAATCGTAACTTTCTACCGAGGAGTAAACCGCTAATCAAAATCATGTACTTCAATGCTTATAATAATACCCAATTTCTGATCGATCGTAAATACCCCACAGATAGCATTGTGAGAGCGCAATCTTATTATTTAGCGTAATTTATTTAATATTTACACTTTATTACGTGTTGTAAATATGTTTTACATAAAACAATTGTCAATTGTTTAAAAATAAAGCGTAATAGTGCTTAGTAATGCTCAAGAAATGTCCAGCAATGCCCAGTAATGCCTCGAATCTGTACACCGCAATGCCCTCGGTTTACCCCTCGCTTTCTACATTTCGAATTTATTTTGTACAGACAGAATGATGGCGTATAAAAAATTACGTTGTTTAAATGTTTAATAGAACAATGAAGAATATAGGAAAAAGTAATTATCAAAGAATGGTAATCATAATTGAAAAAAGCCGTAATTTAAATGGTTCCAATTTTTCTTCATTGACTGAGAAACCGAAATCGATATCTTAGCAAACGAAAATTCAAAATAATTGAAAATTGTAATTCATTTTAATTTATCCGAATTGGCTCTTTAGAGTACGTCCGGAGATGCATTTATCTCTATTATTTTTAGATTCAAGTAAATTGAAATACCATCATGTTGAATTCGGATGTATTCACGTCTGTATTATGTTATTTTTAGATTCAAATAAATTGAAATACGAAATGAGCTATTCACCATGTTAAATTCGGATGTATTCAAGTCCATATTATATTATTTTTGGATTCAAATGGATTCGAAAATTTAGAACTGGAAATAAATTTGGAAATAAATTCGTTTCTATTTATTTCAATTTATTTTTGTTTGCTGGGGAAATAGTTATTTCATTTTTTAATTAAATTGTAATCGTAACTGAATCGTAATAGTTTTTCGGTCTAGATTCCTAACTAGTAATACATACATTATTCATTTATTGCGTGCTTGTATAATTATGTATAATTATGTAATTTCCAAGTCTAATTATATACATTTACACAAGACGTAAAAACAGAACGCAAAATAAATATTTTGTTAAAACAGTTCTGTGCTGTGCGATATATTATTAGATGTATGTATTATGTATTTATGTATTAAAAAATGACGATTATGTAATAATTTTTTTAGTGAATATATTTACTTTATGTATTAGATGAAATTAATGAATTTATAAAATGTGATAGAAGAAGTTCGTAATTGAACGAAGTAATGATAATGTATTTAAGAAGTATCAAAGAAGTTCCATAAATCCATCTCCGTTGCAGTTATTATTCGCAACGAATTCACGAAGAAAAATCTCAACGACGATTAAATCATGCATTCTATATATTTTTATATCTATATTTATATATACCTTATCATTCCGCGTAAATCCATTTATGACCCCATACGACTGTATGACTTGAGATACGGACATCCTGAAATAATAATGTATGATAAAATAGTGAGATAAAGCGTTTACTATCAAGTTCTTATTAGAACAAGCTTTTTATTCACACAGCTTTATCATCTTAATTTATTATCTTAATTTTTGTCGGAAAATTGGCTATAATTCATTTATATCTCTTTTTCAACTTACAGATTTGTAATGCCACTCAGTTAAAGATATTTCAGTAATGAAAATAATGAGTTTTTAGTATTAGGTAACCAATCTCTTTTAAAAATAAAAACGTGTTATAAATGTGTAAAAGTGAATATGTTACAATAAACCGTAACAATAAATGGTAGAAGATGTGATTGAATGCTTCTTTATATGTAAATATGTAATTGATATAATGCACAACTATATTGAAGGGATAAAAGATAAATAGAAATGATAAATGAAAAAGCAATAAAATTGTATAGCCAGTTAACATATCCAATAATAAGTTGCGATATTGCATTTATTTTTATGAACATATTATTAAATTTCAAGATTTAACAATAGTAGTTTGACAATAGGTTTCAAAAGAATATTATAAATTATGTTCAAAAGGCGTAATTTTTACAAAACTATACTTTTATGCAATGTTTTTCAATTAGAATAAAATTTAAAATAGAGACGTAAAATGATGGAATTTTTACAACATTACTTTACTCGATTATTTTAAAATTGAATGTGACGTAATAAAAATAATTCGTGGTGCGTAAGTAAATTGCAAAAAGAGTTAATATATAAAAAATGGGTATATAAAATTTAACATATTCGGAGGCTGCGTTTGATTTAGCGCTTATAAACATCATTTGTCCTTATTTAACATTTGATAAACAACAAGGATGAAGTGATGCTGTGAGCGTCAAAGCGAACGCAGGTAGAATATATAAAATTGAAAATATGTTAATTGCAGTTTGACAATTGCAGATGATTTGCTTTGAAGGTCACATTTGTTTTTAGTTCATGGATTATATTGTACAATATAAGATAGAAGCAACACCGATAATGTTAAATGGACAAAAAATGAAA